AACGCAAGGCCATGACCTTGATCCAGAATCCAAGACCGTGGTCATGACTTTGGGAAAACGCAATATCCTTGTCATGTCGGGAAAATCTCAAGATCATAACCTTCTAACGTCACAAAATGTGGTGGGGGATGTTCAACTTACCATATTCATTTCGATATAGGTTATAGTTTGGAAATTACTGATTTTAGGATTTTAGAAGAACAACGCTGCCAGAAAGATGTAAATTATAATGGCATGGTTCTCGCTCTGAACAATGACGATTTAAAAATAGGCGCATTACTTCGCAAGTTTGCCTATTTTTTTTAATTAATGATATTCGGGATTATTGTAATCGTGATAAATTTTCGATGTGCCGATATTTCCTTTTCTGGACGTTTTGAAGCACACAGACCCCAAAAAAGTAAATTTTAGCTTGACGTCTGAGGGTGTGTGAGAGGGTGTATGTGTGTGTGTTGAAAATTTAAATACGCCATCAAGTTCTCAGGTTAAATCAAAGTAGTCGACCTTATTGTTTGTGTGTGAAGTTCAACTTGATGAAAGCGCATCCATAGTCTTTTACTATTCGAATGCGATTTCTTCCGACAAAGCGTTTTGGAGATAAAGTCAGTAAAATTAGTAAGTTCGCATATCGGATTAGCGCTTATATTCACAGCGCGCATGAGGTTATACATCTTTCCTTATTTAAAACATGACATTTGAGGTAGAGGGCAAGTGCGTATCTAGTTTTACGAACCACGGGCGGTGAACTAAGAATTACACTGGACGTTACAGACGTTTAAAATGGAGGTTGTTGCAGCAAAAAGAGAAAGCAATAGTTAAGGTATGTTGGTCTCGGAATGGGCAACACCCACTTAAAAGCGACTGGCTTGACGCTTTTAAGTGGGTGTTTCCCATTCCGAGACCAACATACCTTAACTATTGCTTTCTCTTTTTGCTGCAACAACCTCCATTTTAAACGTCTGTAACGTCCAGTGTAATTAGTTACACCGCCCGCGGTTCGTAAAACTAGATACGCACTTGCCCTCTACCTCAAATGTCATGTTTTAAATAAGGAAAGATGTATAACCTCATGCGCGCTGTGAATATAAGCGCTAATTCGATATGCGAACTTACTCATTTTACTATAGTAATTAAGAGAACAAAAATGTTTCCCATGGCAAAATCTGTTTTCACTACTCTTAATAATAGAAACAGTTCTTTATCGTGTTTATTTGTCGATAAGTACAATGATCCTTATATCATTGTAAACAGAAAAAATGCACCTTTTAAAAATGTCACAGCCAACTATGATTACCATTTAAAAAAATGTAAGGTTGCGTTATAACTCGAAAATTATAAAAGAAGAATAAATATAAATAAATGTATCTTATTAAGCGGAAAAATATCTACAATTTTTGTTCTTTGCATATTTCTGTATTTCTAATAGGTACTATAACGATTCTACAACATTCAAAAGAAAAATCACTAAATCTGTTTTTCGCTCATATTTAGTAAACTGTAGATTTTTTTCAAAAAACAAAAGCATATCTTAAAAGGACAACTCTTTCCTCATTTAACCGAATCTCTATGTTTTACGGTTTCCGAGATCCTAATGTTTAAAATGAAAAAAAACTCAACCTGTATATTAACTGTGCAAAGTTGCAACCGAATAGGTTCAAGCGTTTGCCAGAAACAGAGAGGCGTGACCCCACGGGGTCACTGGATTTCACCCATTTTCAATAGGCTTATTACATGTGGCATATAGGTCAACTGTGCAAAATTTGAACCAAATCGGTCCAAGCGTTTGACAGTTATCGTGTTCACAAACAGACGGACACCATCGACTCCCCTATAAAGCTTGCATCGCTTTGCTCTGCCGCTTAATAACAGTATTCAACATAATACACAATAAAGTTTATGATTTGGGGACCATTAAAACAAAAGTTCCTGGATAGTCTAAGATCCCACATAAGGTCAACCTTCGCCCATGTCTTGACTGAGTGAAATACATTTCTTAGCAATCTTAAAAACTTAAGATGTAAATAAACACATTGGAAAAGGGTTGCCTAAAAAAATTAAGTCTAGAGTACCCTTAATTGAAATTACTGTAATTAATATTTCTGTCTGCTTCTATCACATGGAGAGAGCGCCGATGCGTACACCACGATCAGCTGGTACGCTGCGTCGTAGCGCGCGAGAAAAAAACATGTGCATTATTCTGTTTGAGAGAAGGACGCAACGTAACAGCTGAATGTGGTGTACGCATCGGCGCTCTCTCCATGTAATAGAAGCAGACATAAATATTAATTTGCATTAATTTTAATTACTGAAGGGTGGTCTTGACTTAATTTTTAAGGCAACCATTTGTAATGTGTTTGTTTACATAGTAAGATATGTCAGATAAGCGAAGGTTGACCTTATATGGGATCTTGTACTACAAGTATACAGTGCGATCAAGATACGAAGGTCACCTCAATATTTCTTTTATTTGGTGAGATACGAAAAATGAGTCAAATATAATTTTATGTGACATTACCATGTATCTATCCGATTGCGGATTGGTGCCGATGGAATTAGTATTGAGATGCTGCTGAGGTGCTCTTCGCATATTGTCAAATACATAACTCACATAATAAATTATTCTATTGAGGTCAGTACTTTTCCAAATGAATGGAAAATCGGTCATATTATACCTTTACCTAAAATTAAAAATCCAACCGAAATCAAGGATCTCCGACCAATCAGCATCTTACCCGCGCTTTCGAAGATTTTTGAAAAAGTTTTATGTAAGCAAATTAAAGCACATTTAAATGACAATTCAATTATTCCGTCAAACCAGTCCGGGTTCAGGCAAAATTACGGTTGCGCCACGGCACTATTAACAATTGTTGATGATATTTTGGCAGCAAATGATAACGATATGGTTACCACACTTGTTCTATTAGACTATTCGAAGGCCTTTGATAGAATTAACCACCAATTGATGGTTGCAATTCTTCACAATATTGGATTTCAGCCAGACGCCTTGAACTTGATGAAGAGCTACCTCTGTGATAGAATTCAGCTGGTTAAATACAACCAGAACTATTCCATTCCTCTCAGATGCATTAGCGGGGTCCCACAAGGTTCAATCTTAGGACCTCTTTTATTTATAATATATACGTCATCCTTTCATAAATGCCTAAAGTATACTAAAAGTCATTTCTATAGACGACACCCAAGTATATCTATCATGCCATAAAGATGAAATATTGCAATCTAATTATCGTATCAACTTCGATTTAAATTCGTTATATGAGTTGTCACATAATTATTGTTTATCGTTAAATCCTTCAAAGTCTCGCGTTATGCTTTTCGGTCGAAAAAATACTCGACAAAAATGCATTTCGGAAATTAAAATATGTATAAATAACGAGTACATTATGTATACGGATGTTACCAAGAATCTTGGGCTGTATCTGGATTCGGAGTTGCGTTTTGATGTACATGTTAATGATATTATTAAAAATGCGTATGCGGGATTGAGGCTTATATACTGCAGTCGCAGTATGTTAAACTATAAAACTAAAAGTATGCTCTGCGATGCATTAGTGTTATCGCACATGAACTATTGCGATGTAGTGTATGGGCCCTGTTTGACTGAGTACAACCGAACCAGATTACAAAGAGTTCAGAATGCCTGCGTTAGGTTGGTTTGTGGCCTGCGACGACGAGACCATGTCACGGGGTGTTTACATTCACTTGGGTGGTTAAATAGGTACTCTAGAAGACAGCGGCGAACTTTACATTACTCTCGATTGTGTCTAGGAATTGTAAATAATAGTACCCCAACTTACTTGCATAATAAAATTCATTACCAGGGAGAAATTCACAATAGAAATACGCGCGGTAAAGTACTTGCTGTCACTCCGATGCATAGGACAATGCAATTTCGGGGATCCTATACATATGTTGCGTCAAAGGTTATTAATTTCATGTTACAGAATGCATTGGACTCTGTGCTTAAAGTCAAAATATTTTTAAGGGAGAACATTACGTTTTCCATTAAAATATAAAATCATGTTGGATATTATTGCTTGGATCAAACACCATCGCGATCGTTGTATGAGATACGTCATTATTATAATTTGCTGTTATATTTACTTATAGTTATAATTTTGTTATAAACTGAGCTGAGCACGTTCTTTGTTTTGTGTTATAATTGTAAGTTGGGTGGCAGGGAAGACCAGTTCTGCAGGGGGTTGCTTACCTGCACAACTGATTGCTGACCCTTTCTGCTAGAGTTATTGTTATTTATTTTATGTAATATGTAATTTCATTGTGTACCTACACTGCAGAATAAATCTATTATTATTATTATATTGAAACTTCCGGTTAAACAGGAAACCTATGCAACTTTTGCTTTTCAAATGCAATGCCTGTTTTTTTTAATATACTTAAAAGAGCATTCAATTATACGGCAATATAAAATATGTATAAGTATGAAATTTGTGATTCAATATTTAGAAAACTTACAAAATCTAGCATGCTGTGTGCCATATGAGCCATATCACACAGAAGAAGAAGAACTGTCAGTGAAATAACTAAACGCAAGGCCAAGATTTGAGAACAATTTTATTGGCGCAATATAAATTTCCCATGGCCCATTTTAAATAACTCAACGTCTTTACATTGTCGTATGGCCCATCCTAAAATACACCCTGTATATTTTGTTACAAAATTCAAAATATAGGTATACACAGTGTGACATACAAGTATGTAAAAAAGTGAATGGTACAAAGGACGAAAGCGAATATTTATACCAAACACACCAGGTTAAAAACGGTTTTTTAGAGCTACTCCTCCAAAAGACCCAAAATTCGTGTTTCTTCTTTAATTTTTTTCATAAACTTGAGTTTATATACTTTTTTCATCAAAGTACTGAGGTAATTAACATTGCGTTCATTTGCAAATATTGCTCATAGTTACTTACAGTGTTTTTAACTTAAAACCTAAAATTCATACAACGTAGGAATGAATACTTACTTTAGAGTATTTTCACATGTTAGTGGTTGCTCACATTGATTGGAACTGGCTTCTTTATCCGTTGCATTTTCTGTATCTATTAAATATATTAAATTAATTAATTAGCTATATTGAAATGTTACAATACCCTCATCAGTACCTATTATTTCCGATATTAGTTGAACTAAGATAGGATCCGATTCTGTCCTTTGTACAATGCTTTGAATTGCTAAACTGTCCAATTCTGCACTTGATTTTGATGAAACTTCCTTATTAATATTGTCGGCCAATTTCTCGATCAGTTCTATATTTTCTAAAAAGGTGTTTGTAAATATCTGAAAAAAGTACCTACTCATTTTAGAATTGTGTAACACACTCATATTACCTCTTCGCATTGTTCGTGCGATTTCTCTTTGACCTCTGCCTCGTTGTCAGTGGTAGTAGATTTATCACATGTCGAGGTGGTTTCTCTTGATTTATCGTGCGACTTTTGTATGGGATCATCTTCAAAGGTATTCTTGGGCGTTGTACTTATGGATAGGTGATCGAATGACCTGTGGCCAATGTCAGATATATTTTGCACATCACACGGTTCGGTGTTGGTGCTCGCGTTATGCGAATTTACAGTTGCAATTCTGCAAAATCTGTTCGTAAAATTGTTTTGTTTAGTGTGCTTAAGTACTTACTCTTGTATTGGTGTGCTAGTCCTCGAATGAATATCAAATTTGTCAAATAAATATAAAACTTGTTTCATTAAGGAAGAGCGTGAACAATTTTCTTTATAAAAATCAGTCGCCTCCAAACGTTCTTGAACTAGAATATGGAAAAACTTGCAATTATTTGCTGAAAGACCAGAATTCTAAACAGCGACAAACTATCTTTTTTATTTATTTTATTTTATTTTTTTATTTTATTTTGCCTTTATTTTTGAGTGGGCGGGGTTTCAGCCAAGGCTGCTCTACCAACCCAACCCACTATACATTTACAAATATCCATGCCCGAACCCGGATTCGAACCAGGGACCCTAGCACCACAGTCCAGCTTCAACTGAACTGCGCCACACGGGCCGGCTGATGTTAGTCTAGGCTCGATTCTAGTGTCTAAAGCTCTAAACCAATTGGCGCAATTGTGTTCTCATGACCATATTTGGAATGTTCAAATCAGCCTAGAGGACCCATAATACTGTAGCGAATATTCCAGAAACCCAGATAGACATAGAGGCGCCATGAAAGATCATCAATGATAAAAAACGAAGGTGGATGTGACGCAATCTTTCCGGGGAATATGACGTGTTTGTTCAAGAACATTCTAGAATATTCGGGAGCGTCTCGGGGGCACTCGAGTAAATCAAATTATTGTAAATTCTCGTGTAAATGACCAAATTACCCTAAAGTTATTAATGAATTACTACAGGATCGAAAGGATTATATGTCTATCCAACTTTCAACATTTTTTAACCGTTTTTATCTTTCATGATATTCCACTAAAAGCTTTCAGCAAAAGGAATGATCTTGTACCAACCACTACCTTTCTCCCTTACCCCTTATCAAAATCTGAGAGTTTGGGAGAGGAGCGGATAGGAACTCATCCTTTATAGTACTTTACTGAAAGGTGTCAATGAAAGAAATTAATGTTTACCAAACATCCCCCCCTCCTCCACGGCCCCTTATCGTGATTGGTTATAATTCCTAATATCTCAACAGCGGAGCGTGATTGGATGATGTGGAACATGTGGAAAAAAACATATCCATTGGTGATGTCAAAACTTTAAGTGGGAATATCACAAACTGTGTCAGAGAAGGGTACTCAGAGGTCAAATGAATCGTCTGGACAAGACATCTCAATTGGGGAGGTAGAAACGAATATCTTGAAAATAAAATGTTGGAGGAGCATAAAGAATAGGATAAAAAAGAAAGTTTAATGCTTAGTGCAAAATGTAAGATAAACTCCACTTGCAAGAATGAGATATGATTGTTTCAAGTTCCTGGTTTTCTGGTATTGCAAACACATTGTAGAATATTGTCAAATTTTCGAAGGTTCCTAAAGTACCTAAGTGTAAGTGTACGCTAATAAGAAAGTTATGGGGCACATCTACAAAAAATTAGCTTTTTATTATAATTAAGCATTTTAAATGAATGAAATATTTGTTTTTGATAGCACATGCAGTGAATTTTTGAAAAAGTGTATAATGTGATCCTTAACAAAAAATATGCCACATTTTTAGAACAATCCATTATTGTAATAAAATCGAAAGTGTTTCATTTAAAATAACAAAGTTGTGTCTCATACCACATTACATTTGTATTATTCATATTAAACAATGTTGTATTTTAACTTTTTTTTGTAGCATCACCAGAGGCATCACCTTGTCAAGAGACATCACTCCACATCGCATTAATGGGACACCCTGTATATTTTCTACCTCGATTTGTACAGGATGGTCCAAATTGGGCACTTTCTTAAGGAATCGTCCTTCTTTTTAAGAAAAAAATGAACCTAGCCCAATTTTACGTTGAAAATCACTGGCGCAAACAGAACTCAGCTATCTCTATTCGTTTGGCCACTAGGGGACGTTTCTCGAATTTAGTCGATTTTCTTTAATGCCCCATAACTTTCTTATTCGCGATATTTGAGCTAGAGCAAACCAATGACACTTCTCCACAGCAACTTTTAAAGCTCTTTAGGTGGGGTTGTTAATTTGTTTAAATCCGAGGTTATGTGTTGTGGAACCATCATCAACTTTTTTTTAAATACGGCCTGATATGGTTTAACTTTCTTTTTGGGCTTAGTTAAGAAAGTTCATATTGCGGAGGGTTTTAGTGCCATGAAATTAAACATCCTACCGTGTGAAGTTTTTCTTTACATATTATAGAAAACATACATAATTATACATTAATTATACAGTTAATTGAAGTATAAGAGCATTGATTTATCACCAAGAAAAAAGTATGTTTTGGAAAACAAATGAAGGTGATAATGGCGTATTTTAACTGACAGTAATGTTGGTTTTTCCACATAATAATAATATTAGTTTAGTGTTAATTTATTGTACAGGGTAGTTCAAATTCGTGGCTGACCAATGGGATCTCCGTAACCGTGAGAGATACAGTGTATATGAGGACAAAGTTGCTGTTTTTGTGACTAAAAAAACGCATTTGAAATGTTTGAAAACTCTGAAAATAACAGAGATATCACCGAAAAACTAAAAATGTTTTTCATTTTCCCTACCTTAAAGCGGTAGGAAATGGGCGTTTCCTGTTAGCACCTTCTATGGGCACTTTTTAGGAGAATCGTCGGGAGAATCTGAATCTGTAACATGCTACAGGCTAAGTACGCTTTCTTATTTCTTATGGACGCTGTATTGGATTTTTACAGAATGAGATTGTTTTATGTTGTTCCGGCTTCAGGATACTTCTTATTAGACACAGGTTATTTTAACTTATATTAACTTCATTAACTTGGACACCAACTTCGATTAACATACATGTGTTCTTCTTGACCTTCTATTCCGTGTTGCCAACTATATCTAACATAGATAGACTTAGAGAGGACAAAAAAGAAATTCATTGAATGCATCGCCATCATAGCCGTGTTGATTCAGCAAGTTCCAGTTACCAGCAGATGTTTTGTTGAGAAATAAATGTAAAACATTTGATTTTGAAATTTTTCTATAAATTTATGTAAAAGTATAGAGTGTGACACGATATTATGTTTGTTTCTTACTCCTCTGTCTCATTCCTGAAAAATCCGAATCATAAGAAATACAGAGCTTGTAGCTTCTACATCTAGCATGTATTAAATTGAAATTGAAATTGAGGACTTTCCATTTACGACCTTTAAGGTACGGAAAATCAAAACGAAATTTGCCATTTTCGGTGATGTCTGTTATTTTCAAAGATTTTTCAAAAATTTCAAATGTGTTTTTTAGTCACAAAAAGGGGTAACTTTGACCCCATTTTACCTACACTGAATCTCTCACTGATACAGAGATCCCAATGGTAAGCCACGATTCACGAATTTGAACTACCTAGAATATGTAGGTAATTATCAGTATTCTTTCTATTAATTATATTTTCTAATACAGTTTGACATGGTGGCATGTTTCATTTCAGCCAATCGAACTTGTTCTGTTGTGGACCGTATGTATTTGCAGAAGTACCCTGACAACCAAATAAAAGAACTTTTAACAATCAGACTCAGTGGCAACCCTTAAAGCATATGGTACTTTTACACTATATTATAATACATTACAGAATAAAGTTACGTTCTATATAACACATTTATTGGTACTATACGCCACATTCTAGGTTAATTATGTAAACTAAACACCAGTGAAAATCTCACTTAAAATGGAATGTAAAAGAAATGAGCTGATAGCAAACCAGCAATATTTATATGACAATATTAATGAACAGAAGACAGACAACCAAAATATAGACACGTCATACTAGTACTACTAAAAAATATGGGGAAAAAAGGAAAAAAGTAACAAAAAAAAGCAATATGGATTATAAAATTAGAAAACAAGTTACTATCAATAATGTTTCAAGTTTTGATTGGTTGAAAAAAGCTAAAGAAAATCATTACAAATGTAAATTGGCAAATTGTAGGGAAAGAGAATACCTATGTATTAGACACAAAACAAAACAATTATGGAGTTACAATACTAACCTATGGTGTAAATGGCAGCATATTCGTTTAAATATTCGACTAAACTCATACCAGCAACACGTGTGACAACAAACCTACGGTTACGATAATTGTTTGCATGATCTCGTAAATGTTCCGAGTGATACAGCAGATCAAGGAAGGCTCTTTTGCACCGAGTTTCTTTTAAATAACCTACAACAAAAGAACGATGGAAGAATTTTGTTTTGAGGTCCATAGCAAAGAAGTTAAACGCTAGTAGGGCAAGCAAACTTCGTTTTCCCGCCAAGCAAATACTAACCCAAAACAAGTTGTGCAAAATCTTGAGAACGAAATTCCATTGTACGATAATATAAGTTAACGTTGAAAAGCAATAAACAAGAAATTATAGAAGTTAGTACAGACAGGCCATAATTGTTATTAATGTTTTGATGATCAACAACAAACAAAATTCGAAATGACAAAATTCAGTTACGTCGAATTCGACAGTCGTCGAATATACCAGGTGCTCACAGTTTGCTTTTTTCCCAGTATTATACAGGGCGTTTGTTGATGGGTTGAAGATATCAGTGTGATTTATAAATATGGTCATTGATTATACACACAACATTTCCTCTATGCTCATACTAAAGAATTTCAATCTACATCCCCTCAAATAAGGGAAATTGAGCGTAGTAAAAAATTTACTCCCCGAATGAATTTTTGAAGTGAATGAACAATGGTGGACAGGAAAGGGTATAGGTAAAACTTCATGTTTTACTTGCTTATTTTAACGAGGTAAAGGTAAAGAAATCATCCACATTATGAAGGACCTACCTACATAATGTTGTGATCCACATTCAAACCTAATGCCATGTATTATGCTAATGCCTAAAGACCATGTCAGTTTTATTATTCTAAAATGTATAGCGATCATTTGTGATTACAGATTTAGATTTAGTATTATAATCTGCGTAACGATGTCAATAATGAGAGATTTATTCTCCAAAGCCAATCAGGTAGTCACTAAACAGCTGTTAGGTCCAAAACGATAGCCCTAAAAAATAGATGTATTTCTAAAATGTGCCAATTACAATTAATTACCGGACATTGTTTTTGGCATAAGTATGATCGCTACAATATTAGCAAGTGCTGGTGGAGTTCTTCAACTTAAAACAGTTCGGTGGCTGTAGATCGGTTGCAGTAGCAGAAGCTTTCGTCGCCCATTCTGTGGCTCATTCGCTTTACGGGCACGCGAAAATAACAAGTATCCTCTTCAGGTAGTGCTCCGACGTATCCGATATGCAACATTATGATGCCATACTTCCATCCCTTGCTCTTCTCATGGGTCGCTACCCAATGTTTCCATGTCTAGACAAGAATTGAACTTTTCCATCCAGAAATCTAAACAGTAATGTTCTCTCTAAAGTAACAATCAATTTATTAAACTTAAGTTCGAGTTTTATATACTTATCGATACTTTAATATAATTAATGGTTTCTTTTTGCTTTTGTTTTTACTTAACCATTTAACACCGTGCTCGTTTAGTTTTAGGTTACGTGAAACAAAACACATCTCTCGCAGTCTGGCTAAAGTTAATCAGAACTCCTACGCTGTTTGCATCGGTCTGCATTTACTTATTTCACTTTTTCGCGTTTGGTCGTTCATTTGCAATTTACAAAAAAAGCACAAAACTTAAAATAATCCATACTACTCATAGTAAAAATAACAATGACTGGCACAAAACTAAAAGAATAATACTTCCACACATATTCCAATTGTTAGTAATTAAAAAACCATGATCCTTTCTGTAGGTATATTAATATTTAAAAATATCCCACATAGTCTGCGTTATAATTATCCAATCGTTGATTGAATAACTTATTCAATGAACGATCTAATTGTTATTTTGCATGTACTAGGACAGTAATGGGAGTCAGGCAAAAATATTACAGTACCTACTAGTCAGGTAAAGATCAACTTTCTAGTGTAAAAATAGCCCTGAAATTTAGATTTTCTTGACGGTTTCAGGTAAAGGAAAAACGCCAGTTTCGAAATTTGGTGTTGCGCATGCACAGTGTCAACTTTTTATTTATGGAAGCATTTAAGCATTTGATACTTAGACGCTTGGAACAAAGGAAAATCTAACATTAGATTCAAAATTTAGGTTTGCGCATGCGCAGTTCCAACTTTCTTATTTAAAAAAGCATTGAAATGAAATTCTTATAAACTGAAATTGAAGTAGCCCGTCAAAAATGGATTGCCCATGTGCAACACTATCTTTCATATTTGTGGCCAGATTTTTACGATTTTAATTTGCATCTTACAAATGGGAAATGAATGCAAGTGGAAATGCGCTTTATGTAAATCGTTTACGATTACTTTTTAACTTGTTATTAAATATTCTTATTCTACATCTGAAAATAATACTTTCGTTGGAAACGTTTTTCCCTACACTTACCATTTTTTGAAGATGTAACTTCATCCAAATTTGTTGTAATTATGAACTTCAATTTATTTAAAACTTATTTTGTACAATACCATCAAAGTGCAGCAAATTCAATTTAATTTAAAGACAGATCATACATAAAGCAAATTAAGATCATTATCCACAAGTAATGTCACCTCGTCGATAATAAACACAAAAACTTAAAATATACAATTTGCAAATCGACTATCAAAGGGTTTAACCAGAAAATCCGTTATTGTTTCCAGATGCACCATTTCCTGAGTAGCCAAATAAATATCCACCGGCGTTATTTCCTTGGCTATTACCAGAGTTTCCACCTGCGTTACCGCCAGCAGAAGAAAACGAGTAACCGTATCCACCGTAACCATAACTACCAGCAGACGATCCGCCGTTGTTTAAACCGTTGTTGTTTAATCCGTTGTTGCTACCGCTACTTCCTGCATTAGCATTGCTGTTGGCATTTCCACCGGCATTATTTCCAAAAAATCCGTGTGAAGGAACTGCTACAAAACTTGTTGCTACCCCGTGCGTTGTAATTGTGGCTGGGACGGAGTTAACATGTTGCTGACGGTATGAAGAACTGGTTGCGGCTGGCCCCGAGCTGTAGCGAGTTTAAAATTTTATGTTTATTATTATTGAATGCTGACTTACGGATACGATTGAGGTGACTGTTGTGAAGTTGGGGCGGAAAATGATGTTGAGATAACGGCTGCTGCATGGGGCGCTGGAGCTGCGGAAGATTGGGGGATTGGTCCAGGGGTTAGGGTTAGTGGGACTTGCTGTTGAAATCCAAAACTTCCGCCAGAAGCATCGCCATTTGGGTGTCCGTTATTACCTAAATTGCCGACATTTGGGCCAATGTTTAAAAATCCGGCCTTAGCTGACGAAAATGCAAAGCAGCAGACGAATACAACCTAGCGTAACAAATTCAATATTAATAAACTTTTGTTTTGAAAAGCAAGTGCATTTGCCTACCTTAAAATACATCGTTGTTAGTTGACTTTGGGAGTAGTTATTTAAAGAACGATCAACTGCTTGTGATACCCATTCTGAAATTTTGCCTTATATATACCAATGAAACTCAATTTTTTTAAAAGCATGTTCT